TTTAAAAGTTGAATAAATAGACAAAAAGATAGTGAAGAGGAATTGAAAGTAGGCTACCTACTGTACATATAAACTTTACAAGTCTCATAGAAATTATTTCATGATATATTATATCACTTTAAGAAAAGTATTGTGCTCTAAGAATATAAATGCTAGAAATAGTAGCCATCCCAGTAGAAATCATAAAAGATTAGAAAATCCTATAAAGCTGAAATATAAAGACTTTTTGTAAAAGGAAACCATAATTTTGGCTGTGATACAAATTTACATATAGAATTGTAATCTAGAAATCATTCCCAAAGTTAAATTCTTTGTCAGGTTTACTTTTAAGTAAAAAGTTATTTTACATACTGAAGCATATTTCTATAACCAGAGTTGAGTGACTCTTTTAATGGATATTACAATAATAACTTTCTTCTTTAATTCTGCTTAAGGATTTCTTCTTCCAGGCACTAAAACCTGGCTTTTGTACAACGCTAGATGCTGTATTCCTGCAAAATTTCTCACAAATCATGAGGATTTCTGTTACAGGAAATAGCAGTACAAGAACATCTAAATGTGTGACTTTGTGCTTTTAAAAAAAAAGATGTGTTCTTTTAACTATGCAAGTCTATATATTGCTTTCCAAATATGGAAGTCTCAAGTATTAAGATTTCATGATAATCTCTTCATACTCCTTGAGGAAAGGGAGCAGCTTAAAACAATCTTGAATGAATAAATACATAAATAATATAAACCTATAACAAATGAAACCACGGGGATGCATATTCTCATTCTGTTTCATATGCACTATCCCCAAACATCATCTGCTTTTTTGAAATATCTGAAATGGAAATATAACCAAGTTTGGCTAAATGCCATGACATAGCTCTGCACAATTACAAACCTGGATAAAGAAAAGATTCTGATAACTAAATTTCCATTTTAGTTGTTTGTAGAGTAAACTCAGAAGGGAGGCGGTGGCTCAGTGACTAAGACGCTGAGCTTGTTGATCAAAAAGGTCGGCAGTTTGAATCCCTAGTGCCGCATAATGGAGTGAGCTCCTGTTACTTATCCCAGCTTCTGCCAGCCTAGCAGTTCGAAAGCACGTAAAAAATGCAAGTAAAAAAATAGGGACCACTTTTGGTGGAAAGGTAACAGTGTTCCATCCACCTTCAGCGTTTAGTCATTCCGGCCACATGACCATAGAGACTTCTTTGGACAGCATTGGCTCTTTGGCTTTGAAACAGTGATGAGCACTGCCCCTAGAGTCGGGAACAACTAGCAAAAATATGCGAGGGGAACCTTTACCTTTACCTTAGTGTAAACTCTGGGGAGGAATGTACCATACATCCTCATCACCCTTCCAACGTAAAGATGCACACTACTTGATTAGGTCTCTAATAGCTTGGAAACAAAATATAGAGGAAACATGGTTTACAGCCTAAGATATGGAGCCCAACTAGTGTAAAATCTTCCATCAAAACATCCCAAGGGCCAAATTCCATGTTGAATTCCAAATTATACATGTGCTTTTATTCAAAGCTGTTCACTGGTTTTTTTATCTCTCAGCTATTCTAACCACACTTATAGTATTCCAGATGTACAGATACTTCCATTTCCAGATTCTCCTGGTCGCCTCTATATGTGTATGTATAGACATTTTCAACAAACAGGACGCACATGCGTCATGAGCAATGACCCCAGAATGCAGCAACCATCATCAATACATGCCTGTTTGCCAAGATGCTCTAATTTTAGATCATGTGGGGATGCTGCAACAGTTGTCAAGTATGAAGGCTGGTCATATGTGACTTTTTTCAGTTCTGTTGTAACTTCAAACATTCACTAAACAAATGGTTTTAAGTTGAAGGTTACCTGTAGTATCATGTTCCAAATTCTTTTTGAGTTACTTACTAATGTGAAAACTTGGCTCGCAGATCCCACAGTCCCTTGATTCCTGCTAGTTATCTAATCCATGACCCTTGCATTTTCTCTCTTTTTCTGGCTCTTAGGGACTAGCTGCACATTACCCCAAGATACGCATCATCATGGCTTGCCTGCACGAGACCCGCACACCTTCCCCCTCCTTTGGCAGTTTCAACACTATCTTGACGGAGAATTCCCTCCGGAAATTGGATCCAGATGCCTCGGACTGCACCCCTGAGAAGGACTTGACGCCCACACAGTGTGTGTTGCGAGACGTCTTGCCCATAGATGGGAGTGGAGGTGGAGGCGGTGGACACAGTCCTACCCCCAGTGAGGAGACCCACGAACAGTTTGCCAACAGCGTGCTGCAGCTTCACGAGAATGAATCTGGTAGTGGGGGAGGTGGAGCTGGCGCAGGAGCTGGAGTTGGGAATCCTGAAGTCCGGCCTACCCGCTACCATGCTGACCAAGTACGGATCCACTGCCAGACAGGGAGTGGCTTTCTGGAAGGGCTTTTTGGTTGCCTCAAACCTGTTTGGACCATGATTGGCAAAGCATATTCCACCGAACACAAACAGCAGCAGGAAGGTGAGGAACATGGGGACCACCAGGAGCAAGAGTGGGCATTATCAGTTGAAAGAATCCTATAATAATAACTTGATTATAATCTATGAAGCAAATCCTATTGCTGAGAGTTGGGCTCCATGATTTCCATACAGAAAGGTCTAAGTTGGTTAACAGAATCTCCGGGTAGAGCTGGGAAAGACCCTTCTTTAAATCACAGAGAACTCTTTCCAGACATGCATGTCAGGAGTTGGGAATTTAGAGCCTCTATAGCTGTGATGGCAAACCTCTGGCACGTGTGCAGGAAGTGACACACAGAGCCATCTCTCCGGGCACGCCAGCTGTTGCCTGTTGCTCTTCCAGGTTCTGGCACACACATGATCACTGGCCAACTGCTCTTAGCGCATGCATGTGTGCCAGAAACCGGAACACCAGGTGACCGATGCACATGCGCACGCTGTAAACCAGAAGCTTAGCTTCCCGGCTCTTCCGGTTTCCCGCGTTCCTCTGGTTTCTTCCGGTACTGCTTTTCTGGACCTGCTCTTCCGGTTCTTCCTCTGGAACTGCTCTTCTGGTTTCCGGCGCTCCCTCGCATGTGTGCGTACGTTCCTGTTTTTGCATTTGGTGCCAAAAATGTTCGCCAACACTACTCTATAGCCTTCAGATTTCAGTTCTCACCAGGCCAGTATACATTAGCAAGGGTTATCGTGAGTTTGGTTCAAAACACCTGGAGGATATAGTAATCTGATGTGAACAATATTGATTTAAGTGTTTGATTCAGTATAACAGTGGTTCCCAAACTTGGCAACTTTAAGCTCTGCTGGCTGGAGAATTCTGGGAGTTGAAGTCCACAAGTCTTAAAGTTGCCAAGTTTGGGAACCACTGCAGTATAAGAAATTTTCTATGTCCCTATTTTCAAGATATGTTCCCAAATGCAATTGGCAATTCAATCAGTCTTGCTGTCAATGGGGAACTTAGGATTCAGTTTGGATCAAGGCTTTCTCCCAGAGTCAGTGATCTGTAGCATGGTTCTTTTCATCCATTGCTGCCCTCTAGAACATGGTGACCCCTTGATTTTCTGATTCTGTCTGTGTCAGGAATTAGTTATAAATTTAGTTTACAGGCTAACCAATAGTCTAGTGACTATTCATATAATAATTACAGGATTAGGCCAAAATAATGCTATATAAGAAGTTGTCTTTATATATTGAGTGGAAATGAATTTGATCCAAAATGCCATAATTGGAATTTGAATGAGTGCTAACCAAATGGACATAATTATAACTATTTTAATAGAGATATGTTTGTTGCTATGCTATTTGCCAGTTTGTTTCTATGAGCAATCTAGTGTATTGCCTTTGAACCCTGAATCCTGAAAACATTGGTAAAATCAACTTGGTCAATGCCAAATGCTCCAGTTAACTAATGCACTGTTAGAGACCCAAAGGACATTAGAACATTGAGCATGTGCAATTGTGAAGATCAAAAATACCTAACACTTTAATCTTACAAAAAAAAAATCCTACAGACAATTTTTCCAGTCACTGGATAATTTGAAATCCCGGTTTTTATTCTCAGACCAGAGCAACATGGCCATTTTGTCTCTCTTCTTCCAGTCAGATGTGTTGATGGTTAAACTTTTTGTGTACAATTGAGCTTATTAGATTAGATTATTTCTTGCTTAGTACTGAAGTTTCTCAAAATCAGAGCAAGTCTGATGTTGCAGCTTTTAAAGAGAAGAGAAGATGAAGTGACTCTAAAGTAAAAAGCTGCAGATACCTTAAAAAAACATTATTTTCTCTTTTGAGCCAAAAAGGATATCATCATTTACAGTATTTATTTTGCATGCCATCTCAGCCATTGAAGGTATTCTAAGAAGCTCACATGCCAGGATTTAAGGCAACAGAAATAACAAACCATACAATAAAACTGCATAACCTTATATCAGGGGGATAACCAACTCCATAGGATTGTTCAAGGATAATTAATCAGGATAGATTACTGGGAACAAACCATTAGACTGTGTTCCAGAACCGGCTGGAAGAGCCAAGTTTTCACAGTTTTATGAAAGCTTAACAGAGTCGGCCATTCAAATCTTGAGGAAGGGCATTGCTATTTCATGTGGTAGGTCCAACTATAAAGAAGACACGGCTCCTAGGTCCCACTTTGTCCCAGAGAGCCACATTTTTATATAGCTCAGATCTGGAGCCAGAATCTTACTCTCAGCAGAATAGAGACATTACATTGGCAAAGTCAGGAGCACTAATAACAGGTGTTCAAAGGTTGCCCTATGGAGAATGCATTGCAATAATCTCACTAGAAGGTCACTAGAACATGAGTGACTGTGGTCATAGCCTCACAAAGTAGGAAAGGATATTATTGTCACAAAAGATGGATTTCTGCAAACGCCTTCCTAGGACAGAGCCACTATCTGCTCATTGAGCAGGAGATGAGAGTCCAAGAGAGCCCTCAAATTATTTTAAAAAGTCTACTTTGGGAAGTGCAACTCTAAGAAAAGCTAGAGATGGTAATCTTGGTGACAGAAAGGTTTTTAAAACCAGAACCTCTGGAGGGGACCTCAGGAAAGCCTCTTTTGAAGAAGCTCAGCTCCCAGACTTGGAGTAGATAGACATGCTCTCTGCTTTCTCCTGCACATCAAGAAAAGCAGGGTCTCTCTTTCGAGTGACAACTGAAAAGAATCATTCCCACTTATTTGCACAAAATGGATAGGACCAAGGAAGCTGGGAGCAATCACTTCAATTTTCTGATTAAGTAGAAAATTAGATACTTAGAACGTTCTTGCATCTTTTCCAGAATCAAAACTTCCCAATCCCGATCCTGGTTTTTCTTTAAAAAGAGGTTGAGGGGGGTGGGAGACTTCCCCTCTTTGAAATGCCTCTGCTATGGTAATATCAAGCACAGTTTGGTGTTGTAGGCAAAAAAAATCCAACCTGCATACTGGTTCAGGTTCCCTGCCTTCGAAGTAGGCCTTAATAAACATCTGTTTGATCACCATTCCACCTGAAGCATCAAGAAAGAGGGACAACTAAGAGGGTCAAATCTCCAGGTGGATCCAATCAGCCAAAATATTGAATATGGGTTTCTCAGTTTGAACATGAATTTTCCAGGTGTTCCCCCCCGCCAAACATACTTTAAGATGGGCAATTTGTCAATTGTGGGAAGACTTCCCAAATTGAGGAATATACTCTTGTGAGTATCTTCCCAGAAGATACTTCATTTTTATTCAGTGGCTTCTACTGGTAACAAATACTTCAGAGGTATCTATCATGACTGAATGCCCTTATATAGCTTTTCCCTCTTGGAAAAAAAAGTTGAAGGAATGCAGAATATTCTTCAAACTTTTAGTTAAATCTTGAATGTTCGGCTTATTTATTTTCTTCTAGCCCCTTTTTATGGCACCCAAGATGAATGGAACCAGCCATATGAAATGTGACTGTGATGCTATAAGAAAAGCTGGGGCCAAAGGGAGTGAGCAGCGAGATGCTAGACTGATCATTCCTCCCTATCATCATTGGAAATCATTTCTTCCCTTTTTCCAAACAAGCCGTTGTGTTACCAGAGTGCTATACTAGAGGCGTTGGGAGTTGGATGATGTATAAAATCATATTACTGTTATTATATACACAACAGTGTGAAATCATAGCTGGCAGTTTTTTAGATGGTTCTGGCCTTTCATACACATCAATTTCCCCCCAAAAAACTAGCTCCTGGGATTTTGTAATGTACCTGCAGAGTATATATGCAAATCCAAGCAGTGTTGTTGTTGTTGTTGTTACAAGTTATTTCTGCAAGGGCTAGAAACCTGATTGGCATTATTATTATTTTTAAATGCATACTTGGCTTATTGAATGCCATGTATTTGCAGTGTTTACATTTGTTCCTGCAATGATATGCAAGACTTTGGTTATTCCTGAATGACATTATGCAGGATTTTTTGCCCTGTGGATGAAAAACCTGCCTTCCTCTGAACAACCTGCAGCTCCCACTTTCTTTTCCTCTCCATGCAGACCCGTGGGAGGTACCCTTTGAAGAGATCATGGACTTGCAATGGGTAGGCAGTGGAGCACAAGGTGCCGTCTTCCTGGGACGCTTCCATGGGGAGGAAGTTGCAGTCAAGAAGGTGCGAGACCTCAAGGAGACGGATATCAAACATTTGAGGAAACTCAAGCATCCCAACATCATCACCTTCAAGTGAGTGGGGCAGCGTTGGCAAGAGGGAGTTGGCCTTGCCTTTCTTAACAATGAAGTCTTTCTGAGCTATAGTTGCAAGGCAAATGTCTTTGCCAGGCACCATAACTTACTCCCTCTCCCTCACCCATAAACACATATAGCACAAGCAATCATACAACACATACAGCAATCAGCTGCGTTTCTAGCCATAGATTGTATGGAGAAAAAAATCCAATGTGTCCATGTCCCACTTAGTTTAGTGTAGTTATGGCGAATCGTTTGGCTCAGCATGTCAAAAATTCAGAAATTGCCTAATTTGGCTCTGCTGGTATGTCAATACCACCACCTCCCAAACAAAAGAGAAGCAATTCTCTGTCTCCCCTTCTAGGCCACCTTGAACAGTGGTACCTGGCAACAGTGCTTCAGCTAGGCCTGAAGCAGAGATCCGGACCTCAATTTCGCCCTAGTACCATCACTGCCACTCAAAAAGGCTGCCCTGCATCATTTCCCAAGACAAACAAATGTTGGGGAATTGTGTGGTTGTCTCCACAGCCCAGCACTCTCCAGAATCTGTCATGTACCACTTACCTTTAGACCAGTGTTTCTCAACCTTGGCGACTTTAAGTCCTGTGGACTTCAACTCCCAGAATCCCCCAGCCAGCATAGCTGGCTGGGGGATTCTGGGA